ACATATATACATACAAGGAAAAAGAAAAGAGGCAGAAAAATATTGCATAGCAGTTTTTGGGTTTTCTCTCACTCTCACACACGTAGACTAAAAAAGGGTGAAAGAATAGGCCATTAGGACAAGAAAAAAAAGGTTTCATATTTTTTCTTTCTTCTATGAATGTGAACTGAGAAAGGAAAAGTAATTGTTTACTTTTTTTTCTCACACACAAAAAAAAAAAGACAGAAAAGAAGAAGGATTTGTTTTCTCTGTTAAGCTCAAGAACCTAGGAAATGGTGGATATAATTTGATAACTTTTTCTTTTAGTATTTTGAATCAATTTGGGAGAATTATTCTCTAATTTCTTGGAGTGTTCATTCAAGAAAAATTGAGTTTGGTTGGAGAAGAATTTATATAGTTCTCCAAAATATTGTATACTTGATTTTTGTAATAGTGGATTTGAATCAAAATTTGACCCCTGATTTTTTTCTCTATACTGAAGAGTTTTCCACATAAATCTTATGTCTCTTTATTTTTATTGTTGTTTTTTTGTTTGCATTGGTATTAATTTACAGATTGATTGGCTTAGAGTGTTAATTGAAATTTGTGGATTAATATTTTGATTGCCTTAATTTGCACAAGTCAAATTAAAATATTTTAAAACACTCACACAAGTGGTATTAAAACAAGGTTAATTAGTTTTTTTGTTGATTTTTGGTCTGAGATTAATTATACGAATTACGATGAAAGAATTTACTGATACAACAATTAAATTATCATATTCAAATTATTCAATTTAGAAATTGAAGATGAAGGACCTTCTTTATTGTTAGGATTTATATAATCTTATTAAGTTAGGAACTCTTAAGTCAATGAGAAAATCAGATGATGATTGAGAGAAAATGAATTAAAAGATTATAGAAAATATCTGACAACGAGTGGATAATAGTGTCTATCATCGTAAAAATAAAGAAATAAATGCACATATTTTGGGAAATAAATTGGATAACATGTATGAGAGAAAAAGTGCTTGGAATACAACTTTTATCACTAGAATACTTGTCAATCTAAAGCTAAGAGATGAACAATCAATTGTAAATTTCAAGAGTTAGTAAATTAATTGAACATAATAAAAATGACTCTAGATGATGAATTGCATGCGTTATTACTCTTAAGTTCTTTGCCATACAGTTGAAAACTATGGTGGTGTCTCTTAACAATTATGCTCAAACGTTATTTTATCATTATCTCTAGTAATAGATAGCCTGTATAATAAAGAGATTAGAAGAAAATATATGGACATTGAGACTTTACAAATACTTGCTACAACAACAGAAAATAGGGGTATAAGTCCTAAAAGGTGTTATAAATTCAAAAATAAATCACATTTGAAAGGAAAATTCAGTTGTTATCACTGTGACAATGAATGACATATGAATAGAAACAGCAAGATTTGGAAAAAGAAACAAAATAATGAGAAAAATAAAAAAAGATAAATGATCAGAAAACCGCTACAACTGTAGCTAATGATAGTGAATAACTGATTATACTTTCATTAATTGAGGATCATAACTATTTCACTTATTCTGGTACTGAGTGGGTTATTGATTCTGTAGCATCTTATCATGCTAAACCCATGAGAGATATTTTTATTATGTAAACAGTTGGTCATTTTTGGCAGAGTGAAGATGGGTAATACCAGTTACGCATATATCGTGGGTATTGGTGATATTTATGTACAACAGATGTTGGTTGCATGTTGACTCTGAAGAACGTGTAATATGTGCCAAATTTGCATTTAAATTTAATTTCTACTCATACCCTTGACTTAAATGGTTATTACAATCATTTGGTAGTAAAAAATGAAAACTCACTAAAGATTTAATTGTGGTTGCTAGAGACAGATTATGTCATACACTATATAAGATTCAAGTGAATACTATTAGAGGTGCACTAAGTACAGTTGAAGATGATGTTTTACCATATTTGTAGCATAAGAGGCTAGCTTATATGGCGAAAAGGGGTTATAGATTCTGAAAAAGAAGTCTTTTATTCTCTTTGCCAAATATATGAGTTTAAACCCTTGTGATCATTGTAAAAACATAAAATTTTGTTTACTAGTTCATTTGAAAAGAAAAAGAATGCTCTTGAATTAGTTTACTCTGATGTATGTGGTCATATTGATGTGGAAACTATAGGAGGTAGTAGACCTTTTATTATTTTTATTGATGATACTTTATGAAAGGTTTGAGTATTTGTTTTAAAAACAAAATAACAGGTTCTTCAGTATTTTAAGCAATTTCATGTCATGGTAGAAAGAGAGAAATGAACATATTTAAAGTGTCTTCATAGTGATAATAAAGATGAATACACTTCGAAAAGGTTCGAGAATTACTGCCTATAACATGGTATCAAATATAAAAAGACTGTTCCTAGTACTTCTTAACATAATATTGTGACTAAAAGAACAAACAAAACCCTCCTAGAGAAGGTCAGATGCGTGTGGAAAATGACTAATCTACCAAAGCCATTTTGGGGTGAAGCACTCTACACTTCTTTTTACTTGATGAATTGATCTCTAGCTCCTTTATATTTTGACATTCACTAGAGACTATAGTCTAATAAAGATGTCACTTATTCTAATTTGACGTATTTGGATGTAAGATATTTATGCAGGGTGCCTGAAAAGCAGAGATAGAACTTGATGATAGAGTATTCCATGTAATTGTTCTGGGGTATGGA